GGTCACAGGCACAGACCTTCCCCAGGTGTGCCCTGGGGGGCTCTCAGGCCATCAAACTAGGTCATAAGCAGAAGTGGAAACATCACAGAATGAAGGACCCTGTTCTAGAATAAGTGCAAGCAAAGCTGAGATACATTCTTGCCAAGCCAACCTGTGAAGAGGGATCAGGCTGGGAGCTCCCCACCCCAGTTCAGATGCCAGCACCCAGATAAAGCATACAAGGAAGCAGGTCACTTAGTCACTTAGCTGCATTGGGTCACTAAGTAGGGGCGAAGTTGGGGCTACCACTTACTTAATCGAATGTTATTGAGGCCTGGCAGTAGTGACACATGTCTTTAGTCCTAGCGCTTGGGCTTGGGAGACAGAGTGCAGGTGAATTTCTAGGAGTTCCAGGCCAGCCTGTTCTACAGAGTGAGTGTCAGGACAGGCTCCAAAGCGACACAGAGAAACTGTCTTGAAAAACCAAAAAAATAAAAGTTCTGGAAGTATACACTAATCATAGCTACACCACATTATGAATGTATCTCATGGTACTGAGGGCTTCTTTTTCTTTGAGAAGGGATTTCAGGGTCTCATGCATCCAAGACTGGCTTCAAACTCACTATATAGCCAAAAACAATCTTGAATGTGTTGTGTGTTTGCCTTAATATCATCCCTCCTTTGTGTATGTGGGGGGGGGGGCTTCTCACTGGACCTAGAGTTTGCCAGTTCAGCTTGTCTGCTAGCCAGCAAACCCCAGGGACCCTCCTCTGCCTCCCCAGAGCTGGGCATCTGAACTCATGTCCCCATGATATCTATATGTGTACTTTCATGCATGTGGATTTGTCTATATACCCACAACAAATATACATATACAGCCACAATAAAAAATTATGTAAAATCAAGCCGGGTGTTGGTGGCGCACACCTTTAATCCCAGCACTCGGGAGGCAGAGGCAGGTGGATCTCAGTGAGTTCAAGACCAGCCTGGGCTACAAGAGCTAGTTCCAGGACAGCCTCCAAAGCCACAGAGAAACCCTGTCTCGAAAAACCAAAAATAAAAAATTATGTAAAATCGAACATTCTTTTTAAAAATAATAGCTAATGCCAAGTGGGCACGCCTTTAATCCCAGCACTCAGGAGGCAGAGGCAGGTGAATCAGAGTTCAAAGCCAGTGTGTGATCTACAGAGTGAGTTCCAGAACAACCAGGACTCTACAGAAAGACCTTGTCTCAAAAAACAACAACAACAACAATAATAATAATAATAATAATAATAATAACAATAACAAATATTTATTATCTTACTCTATGCTGGAAACGACCGAGACCTAGAGGCTATGAAGTGGGGGGCATTGGACTTAGGCATCTTAACACCACCCTATGTCCCTTGGTTTTAGGGACCCCTCTGTGGGTAAGTCCCAACAACTCTGATGAGACACCTCATCTTCATGGAGATCTTTAGATGTCTGCTGGTGGAGGCTGTGCGGAGACGACAGACAGGGCCTTGCAGATCTCGGGTGACCTGTGACAAAGATTATACACAATAGAACAAGTCTTTAGAAACATGCTGCCATGCTCAGGCGTTTTATGTGTATTTTGCTTTGTTCCATCTTGTCTGTGAGGCAGGGTTGACCCATGTACCCCAGGCTGACCTCCAGCTTGAGATCCTCCTGCCTGAGTGTCCTAAGTGCTGAGCTACATGCATGAGCCGGCATAACTGGATTAACAACAAGAATGTCATGATGATTTGTCACCATGTGTTTTCAGAGACTGGAAAGTGAAAAGTGTTATCAGAAACCAAATGTAAGACAAAAGAGTGAGGGTTAAGACCAAGGTGATTGGGCCAAACTTGAGACAAGGAGTCTCACTGGCCCGGAACTCTGTATGTAGGTTAGGGTAAGCTGGCTGCCAGTGATGCACCTGTCAATCACTACCCACCACTGCAAACAGGGGTCAGTGGCACTCGGCATCATGTTTGTCTTCTTTTATGTCAGTTCTGGGAATCAAACAACCACTTTTCTAGCAGCTCTCTTCTAAGCTCCAAGCTTCCTGGGTTCCAATCCTAGCTCTGCCATTTCCTGGTTAAGTTGGCGAGTTACTTAACCTCTCTGTGCTTCAGTTTCCTCTTCTCTGAAGTGGTATCAGCTCCTTAACCGGGTCATTCTGCAGTGGGACTGCAATAGCTCAGAGGCTGGCAGATGCAGTGAGTTTTGGCTATGCTTCTCTCCTGGCCCTCGGGACAATGCAGGGTTAACTCTATATCCTCAAGATGGGATTGAATGAGGACTAACAGAAAAGTTGACATTCAGGTTCCCACAAAGCGATTATACAACTTTGGGGTCAAGGAGAGCCAGCTGGGAATCTGCCCACGAGAAGCAGCCTGAGGGTCCAGTTGGTTGCCAGGGCAGCTTCAGACAAACCAGTTATTGTGCCCTTCTGGTCACACTGGGGTATCCACTAAGGGTGGCACTGGGGGCCGATGGGGATGAGCTCGACCTTGAGCTAGGAGTGGCATGCGGAGGCTGCCCTTTGTTGGTGGGAATATAAACTGTACAACCAGGGCCAGGGAGATGATTCAGCAGTTACAAGAGGCTGCCACCCCACGATGCAGGCCTGACATCTAAGTTTGATTCCAAGAGCTCACATAAAGGTGGAAGGAGAGAGCCCATTCCATGACCTTGTACTCTAATGTCCAGGCACTCGCCGTGCAGGCACCTACACACAGTACATTGTGCACACATGCACAATGGTAATAAATAAAACTTGAAAATGAGTAAAATAAAATGTACAGCCACAGCTGGGCGGCGGTACAAGCCTTTAATTCAAGCACTCTAGAGACAAAGGAAGGTGGATCTGAGTTTGAGGCCAGCCTGGCCTACAGAGTGAGTTCCAGGACAGTCAGAGCAACATAGTGAAAACAAGTCTTTCTTTCAAACAAAGCTGGGCTACCAAGACTGGAGAGATGGATCAACAGCTAAGAATGATTCCTGCTCTTCCAGAGGCCTCATGTTAGGTGGCTCAAACCACCTATAACTCAACTGCAGGGAATCAGCTACCTTCTTCTGACTTCTATAGGCACCTGCAAACAAATGACACACACACACACACACACACACACACAAAAAAAAAAAAAAAAACCTTAAATAAATCTCTTTGTTTTTAAGTCAAAAAGTGAAATGGCTTAGGAGATAAAGACACTTGCTGTCAAGCGTGAGGACCTGAGTTCAATCCTTGGGACATCCATGGTAACGTAGAGAACTGGCTTCCTGAAGTTGTCCTTTGACCTCCATGCACTGTGATATACATCTATACATGCATACACAATAAATAAATGGAATAAAATGTAAAGTAATAAGTAAACCTTAAAAAAAAAAATGCTGGGGCTTGCTGGTGACACACACAACACTTAGAAGCAGGAGGGTCTGGGTTCGGTGGTCAGCCTATCCTTTGGCAAGTTCCTGGCCAGAGAGTCCCTGTCTCAGAAAAAACAAACAAATAAAAAAAAAGATAGTACCCCAGGGATGACAGCTGATGCTGCCCTCTGGCAGGTGCACCTGTTCCCCACACACACTCACACAAATGTGTACATGTATTCATTCACTCACACACAAAGAAAAAGTGCCAAACATAAAAGCAGGCATGGAGAGGCACGCCTGTAATCTCAGGAGACAGAAGCTGGAGGGTCAGAAAGTGAACGATCATCCCAGGCTACACAGTGATTTGGAGGCCAGCCACGGGGAAAGCAGAGCTTAATAGTATAAGTCAACACTCGGAAGCTGAGGCAGGAGAATGTTTGTGAATTCAAAGCCAGAGCTGCAGGGGTGACTCGGTGGTTAAGAGCACTGGCTGCTCTTCCAAAGGTCCTGAGTTCAATTCCCAGCAACCACATGGTGGCTCACAGCCATCTATAATGAGATCTGGTGCCTCTGCTGGCCTGCAGGCAGAACACTATACACATAATAAATAAATAAAATCTTAAAAAGAAACCCTGTTGCCAACTGTTGGTAGCACACACCTTTAAGCCCAGCACTCGGGAGGCAGAGGCAGGCTGATCTCTGTGAGTTTGAGGCCAGCCTGGTCTCCAGAGTGAGTGCCAGGACAGGCTCCAAAGCTACACAGAGAAACCCTGTCTCGAAAAAAAAAAAAAAAAAGAAGGGAGGAAGGAAGGAAGGAAGGAAGGAAGGAAGGAAGGAAGGAAGAGAAACCCCGTGTTGAAAGACAACAACAGAAAAGTAAGATCCAAAAAGAAAAGAGCTAAAATGGGAAAAATAGGATCATGGAGAAGAAAAGCCTGGCGCCTGGGGTGGCTGGGCCTCAGCCAGCTTTTCCTTGACCCCAGGTCCCAGCCCCAGGTTCTAAGAGTAAGAAGAGGGTGGAGAGTGGTTGTGGGCACACAGTGGAGGAAGTACTGCCCTGGAAGATGTCCCCTCAGCTCTAGCGTTGCCCCGTGGGAAGGAGTTACGGAAGTCCATTCTCCCTGTCCCTAGCCTGTCTTCGGACGCCCATCATGCATCCAAGGGCTCTTCGGACACAAACTCCCACATCTACTGTGTCTACAGTGAGAGGTCGCCTCCGCCAACCGCAGCTAATCTTGGTCTGGCTCTCACATTAACACACTGGCATGGGGGGTGGGGTCAGGGGCTGGAGAGATGGCTCAGAGGTTAAGAGCACTGGTTGCTCTTCCAGAGGTCCTGAGTTCAATTCCCAGCAACCACATGGTGGCTCACAGCCATCTGTAATGAGATCTGGTGCCCTCTTCTGGTGTGCAGGCAAATATGCAGACAGAACACTGTATACATAATAAATAAATCTTTAAAAAAAAAAAAAAAAAAAAAACACACTGGCATCAGACTGGGGAAAGAGGCCCCAAGGAGCTGTTTGGATGGTGAGATTGGGGACATTTTTCCTTTCATGTATTTACAATTTTCCTGCAACCGACACATCTTCTTATGTGTTGGAAAAAGAGTCACTGCAGAAGGGGTGTGTCATAGCCACAGCACTCCCAGGGGACAAGGCCCTGGAAAGATTGCACATAAGGAGCACAAAATGTCAGGGCTGGAAAGAAAGCTGGCACAAGGACTGGGGACAAACTGCCCTCAGGGACCACTTGGGGCCTATGTGTGGCAAAGAGAGGTCTCTTGTTCTGTGCTCCATGGGGTTGGGTACACATGTGAGTGAGCCACGTATGTCGTTGGATGACAAAGCTAGCTTGGTCTGCTTCAGCTACTTTTCCCATTGCTTTGATAAAATACCTGTCCCAAGCACCTTGAGAAAGGAAACGGGTTTATTCTAATCAAGGGTACAGTCCATCATGGCAAGAAAGGCCTAGCAGCGGGAGCCTAAGATAGCCAATCACATTGCATCTGCAGTTGGGAAATACACCAACAAATGCACAACCTGCTTTCTCCTTTGCGCTCAGTCCAGGATCCCAACCCAAAAAATGGTGCTGTATCCAGCGGGTATATGTTCCCACTTTAGTTAACCTGATCCAGCTCAGATAATCCTTCACAGGCTTGCCCAAAGGCTAACCATAGGGAACCCCAAAGTCAGTTCAAAACACCCCAAGACAAAGTTCTCAGCACAAAGGAGATTTATTTCCCCCAGAGGGGCAGAGGGCAGAGAAAAGGGACAAAGACAGGAGATAGAGGATGAGTGAAAAGAGGAAGGGAAAAAGGGAAAGGGGCAGGTATGTTTGTACCAGAAGAACAAAGGACTGCCTCTGGATAAAGAGACAGATGTGGCATACAAGAAAATTGAGGTTTAGTAGCGCACGCCTTTTAATCCCAGCACTTGGGAGGCAGAGGCAGGCGGATATCTGTGAGTTCGAGGCCAGCCTGGTCTCCAGGGCGAGTGCCAGGATAGGCTACAAAGCTACACAGAGAAACCCTGTCTCAGAAAAAAAAAGAAAAGAAAAGAAAGAAAGAAAAGAAAACCGAGGTTTATAAAGGTACAAGGGGAAACCCTGTGTTAGGATGAGGTGTTTAATTTTAATTGAACGTGTTAATTAGGTGAACCAAAGGGGGCTTTTGATTGCTGTGTTTCAATACTTTGAAAGCTGTACCTTGGTAGTCAGCCTCAGGAGGAGGGATTGGCCATATAAGGGAATAGACCTTGGGGGTAAGCTTCAGGAATGTAACAGCTTTTAGAAAGGCAGAGGGAAGGAGGGAGAAGGGCAAGGCCTGCTAGAGTCACAGGCTCAAGTGGGCTAATGTCCCTTCATTAACCAGCTAGGCAATCCCTGGACAACCTAGGTAACCCCTCCCAGGCTTGCCTGGAGGCTGGTCTCCTGCTAGATCATAGAACCCATCAAACTGACAACTGAGACCACTACAGTGTCTCTCCAAGCAGCCCTGTAACAAAACAAGCTGTTTTCAAGGCAGTGAGCTCTCCATCATAGGAGGAGGTGTGCTTGCTTGCTTGGGCAGAAACCACTCGGAGGCTTAAAGAAAGATTTCTAAGCTGTTCTGAAGAATGAACCAAGAGTGCCTGAGGTCCCAGAAAGAGGCTCAGAGTGAAAAAAAA